ACTATAGAACATGAACTCTTTAGCTTTTACTTTATTACAACTCTATAGGTCATGAACTCTCTAAGTTTCATCTTTAGTATACTATTACAACATTACAGACCGTTAACCTTACAGATGTTTTCCAGTAATTACTTTTAGAGAATGATACTTTCGGTGACGTGACTGTAATAAAAACTATACATCATAGGCTTATCACACAATAGTTAATAAGAATAAACTCTTGGCTTTCTGTTAAGAACGACACAAACGGTCATTCAGTCATGATTAGGAGTATTTTTTAGTTATCAGTCGTTTTGATCGTGGGATCAACAGGTTGGAGGGTTATCAAACTCTCAATATTATTGCATCAACATTACCTCTATGTTAATGTCCTCACAAAATACTTGAAGCGTTTTAATTATACTATCCTGGGAAGAGAGCGAAATGCTTATTCTTTCATGTCATTTTATTTGTTTCTTAAGCCCCCCCCCCCAGTGGCAAGCGGTATTTTTGCGGACTTACAACGCTAGAAACCGGATTTCGATACCCGTGGTGGTTAGAGCACAGATAGCCAATTGTATAGCTTTGTGCTTGACTTCAAACACAACAAAAAACAATTACTTCTTAAGAAATGTTCATTGACATTATATTATCAATGATAAAAAAACAACAGCAACGGATCAAAATAATGTTGAAAACAGTGAAGTTTGATGTTTTTAAATACATAAAACATTTATATATATATATTGCATTGCATATAAATTATCGTTTAAAGTCTACTTACAAGGTTTTTGTTCTGACAACTGGAGACTAAGCACCACTTGATTTCTACAACAAATATATTCCCATAATATGTTGCTTTTAGAATTTCAAACATCAGTCTTTTAATATGTGATTTCTGATTATATTCTCCTAACTCGTGAATGATATATAGTCCGATCTATGGCCTCCACAGAATTGAAACACAATAAACTGATTACTGTATCAGCATGTTGAAATTTATTCTACAAAATGGGAAAACGTTACACATGCTTTTAAATTTTAGTTAATCATATAGTTGTATGTAAGTTTCGATATATTTCAAATTGTATTGGCGATTTTAACTCTTTTTACTTTTGAAGCTTGGTATGAGTACAAGCGGTTAAACAACGGTGGTATATGTTTGATGAAAATAAAATAATTTAAGTTTAATCTTAAATATCGCCCAACGAGTTAATTCTTTGAAACTAGACGAACGAATGTTAGCAGAATGGTTTTATATGATTATATGTTCTGGAATAAAGATTCTTAAAGAACGACCTCTTATTCAATTATTAAAGTTGTTTTATCATGCTTTCTTGATCTTCTAATAAGCTTCCTTTCACCCTTATTGATATTTCTCATGAATGTGTGTTTTGTTTTACAGGGTGACCTCAGAAACTCCAGAACAGGTTAGTCTGGTCTTCTTCCTTATCTTGCCGCTCAAGGCTGATCATTAAAGTGTAAATCCCAGATTCTTAATTATATTCAGAATCTGAACACGTACATGAATATCACTAACCAACATAACTGTAAAAACTTACGTAATTATCGGACTAAATCGATATTATAATAAAAAAATCGGTATTGTTATTTTTGATTGACATCCCTCAGTGTTTCATTAAAATTGTATAAATCTAAGATATTAGCATCTGTGTTTCGAGTAAGCGTGTGAAGTAAGATTAGCACCAGTAAATGGACAAATTAAAAATTATCGTAACGGTTTGCTACACAATGCGCTATCTGTGTTATGCTCATTGCGGGTATCGAAACTCGATTTTTAGCATTATAAGCTCTCAGACTTATCACCGAGCCACAGAACGACTGTAATAGAAAACATTGTTATAAAAAAACCACTGTAATATGTTGCCATAATACACATTAATTTTACTGTTAGATCACTGTGTTAACATCAGTATCAACACAACTTATTGTATCACTGGGTATAATTTTACAGTGACTATAGTTTATATATGGTGTACCACTGACAACTCTACTACTAGTGAGTCTACTGTTGAAATACAGTAAAGTTTTAATTGTGAAACTATTGAGCTCAAACAGGGATAAAGATGAAGTTTAATGCGAATGTAGCTTCTATATGATTTCTAACTTTATAACATGACATATTACACATAAGATAAAATAGACAAACCTGTGACATGTCGTCGAAAAGGTAATTTTTCCAATGCCCTCAGCTCTTCAAGATCGCCTTCTACATATTTTATCAAGTACATTTTAATTATAAATTTCGATATTTTTTTGTTGAACATTACAAACACATAACGTTATATGTTATTTGTGGTTTAAACTTAAATTAAGTAGGCATTTATTTTCATTTCTTATCATTAATTTAGGACGCTCTTGTCACGTATTTCAGCGTTAAACTTGAGGTAGAAATTTTAGAATAAAGATAGAACAATAGAAGTGTTCCCAACTGAAGCGACACCTGGTGGCTAAGTGGTAAGTCTGAGGGCTTATAACGTCAAAAACTGAGTTTCGATACCCGCAGCAAACAGAACCCAGATAATCAATTGTACAGTCTTGCACTTAACAACAAATAAAAACAAGCAAACAATTTTTTTTGCAAACGTAATACCAGTCTCATATGCACAATTCTCCCGTCTTATTGACCATCCTTTATTTTGAACTTATAAACTACATAATTGGCTATATCCTGAAAAATACGTTATTATTTGCTTCAGTTGAGTGTCAGATGCTATAGGGTTTGATTACAATAAAATATTTATTTGAATTATAACATTTGCTAATTATTCATTATAGTTATTAGAACTAATTGTCATTATCGAGTGGTATTCGAGTATGGAACATTGGTTTTTATCCAAGATTATTCCTTTATCTCTTTTATTTCCATTGGTCAATATACACAGCGTGGTCACAAGTAAATAGACACTACCTTTTCAGAAAAAATGAAAATTTTCAGTCATA